ATATCGGCGACTCACACCTATATCTCCACCTCTCGACCTAATAGGCCACGCACACACCCACACACCATTATTCCGCGTCACCAACATCGGCGACTCACACTCACTCCTCCACCTCTCGACCTAAAGAGGCCACACACACACACAAATACCATCATCTCGCGTCACCAACATCGGCGACTCATACTCACTCCTCCACCTCTCGACCTAAAGAGGCCACACACACACACAAATACCATCGTCTCGCGTCACCAACATCGGCGACTCATACTCACTCCTCCACCTCTCGACCTAAAGAGGCCACACACACACACAAATACCATCCTCTCGCGTCACCAACATCGGCGACTCATACTCACTCCTCCATCTCTCGACCTCGTTGGGCCACGCACACACACAAACATTTCCACCTCCCGTCACCACCATCCGTGACTCATGCACCCTTCTACCCCTCTCGGCCTTGCTAGGCCACACTCACATACATATCCCCTCCCTGCTCCACCAACATCGGCAACTCAACCCGCCCCTACCAACGGCCTCCAAATCTCCCCTCCCAAACCGCATGCTCCCATCTCCCCTTATACCATGCTAGTCCCAAGCATTCTAACTTACTAACTCCTACTGACCACATTACTCCTCTTCTCCCATCCAATCCCCCTCAAATCCTGCTTCCTAGTCCCCTCTGCCGTACCTTCCAGCTCCCTTCCCTCTCCCACTGCCCCCTACCCACTACCTCCCCCATCCTCCTGCCTCCTCCCGGTTCCTATACACTTTTGCCTACCTAGGGCGATTAACCTCTCAGCTTGCACCGTTTCACGCCACATACACGCCCTCACCACCGTGCATTTCGGGGAAACACATCACCGCCTATTAACGGCTCCCTCCATATCCCCACCCACGCACACACCACACACACACCTCTTCTGTCCTCTCGAGTTTTTATCCCACCCGCGCCCCCTAGATTGTTCTCTCACATCCTCCTCACTCTGTTCTACCCGTACCACCCCCATCCTTCCCCACGGCTCCCCCCCACACGCCCCCAACACCGCCATACTTTCCCTTCCTTCCCCGATCACCTCCGTGAGCGCGCGGGACAACCCCACGCTTACGGCCTACCTTCACTGCTCCACTCCGTCGCGCCATTGCCGACGCCGCAACCTGCAACCAAATTTCTCTACACACACACACCACACCAAACAACTCAAATTTTCACCGTACCTCCCGTTTCCATCCTTCTTCTTCCTGCCGGTCGCGTCGTCCGTCCACGGCCTCCTTCCCTCTCCCTTCTCGCTCCCCTCCGCCCCGACTCTCTCCTCTCTCCTTCTGGAACTTTCCTCTTCTTCTTCGTCTCCGCTGTCCTCCTTCCCTCCTTTTCTCTTTTTCTCTTTTTCCTTTTCTTTCTTTTTTTTCTTTTCTCCTTTTTTTTTTCTCCCTTTCCCGACCTCCTTTTATACTCTGTCAGCCTACCCCAAAACGACGTCGTTTTCCTACATCCCAAAACGACGTCGTTTTTCTTTCTTTCAAAACGACGTCGTTTTTCCCCTCTCTAAAACGACGTCGTTTTTCCCCTCTCTAAAACGACGTCGTTTTTATTATTATTATTATTTTTTTTTTCTTTCTATTCTTTCTACTTTCTAGTCCTTACAATTTTAGTGGAATTCTTCAATTCATTCACTCTCTCATTATTTTACTCACATGAATATTTTCTATAATTATGAAAATTTATCTTTGAATTTTATTTAATTCCTGAAAAATGATCAATACACAAAATCTAAAAAACTAAGAACCCATCCTTGAAAATTTTGCATTAAAAATTTGGAGAATCCAAATCGAATTGTTATATTCAAAAATTTTAAAATAGTTATATTTTTTATAAGATTATAAATATTAAATTATGGGTTTATTAAATAGGAAAATATAATTGGTCATTGCCATTAATCCAATGAAAAACAAAAATCATAATCTCATTAATCGGTATCGGGCCTTTTCAAACTAATAAATAAATTTATAATGGAGATAGATAATTAATTTATTATAATATTAAATTATTTAAACATTTCGAAGTAAATATTTTTGTCACTACCAACCAAACGTTGTTGTGTGCTTATTATCCTAAGTCGCGGATTTGTAGGCCCACATTAACATTATGACACGTGGCTGTTTTTGATTCGACACTTATATCAAGCACCAGATAACCTCCCAAAACCCTCTTCTGATATGTAATTTACCAGTTAATCAAAAACCCTACTTCGCGCTCCTATCATCTCCGTTATCCCCCGTGAAAAAACATAAACTGATTTTGCACAACCCGGAAATTCTCGAGAAAATGAACCAATCGTCCAAACAACAGCTCCAGTTAAATATTCATCAGGTCTTCACCAACATCCAAACTCATTGCTCTGGATTCCTCCATAATCTCTCCCAAAACCTCTCCCTCTCGAACCCCAACCCTTCTTCTCTCCACTCCCAGTTCCTTTCCAATCTATCTGTCCTCCAGAATGAGGCAAGACAAGCTTTCGGGGAGGGTTTTTCCCACCTCAATTTGCCTCGTCACACGAGTGGCCCGGTTTGGGCTCGAATTGCCGATAATGGCAAGGCCCAGGTAGCGCCCGTTCGCCAATCCGGTGCCTCGATGTCCGATGAGTCTATTGAAGAGAGGTTAGCAGGGGTACCCGTGTATGCTTTGAGCAATTCGGACGAGGAATTCGTGTTGGTCTCGGGTGTTTCAACGAAGAAATCTCTTGGGTTGTTGTGTTTCAAGAAGGAGGATGCGGAGGTGCTTCTTCAGCAGATGAAGAGCATGGACCCGGGTATGCGGAAAGAAGGATCTAAAGTTGTTGCTATTGCTCTGAATAAGGTGAGCTTTCGTTACGAGTCTGGTTCTCGTCTTAATTTCTTTATTGATTATTTGTTTTTTTTTTTTTTGTAATTTTTGGATTGCGTTATGTCACAGGTGTTTCAGCTAAAGCTTGATGGAGTGGCATTTAGGTTGATACCCGAGTCAGCTCAGGTGAAGAATGCAATCAAGGTGAGTGGTTTTTTAGGTCAAGGACTTCATTTGGTTTCTTGTGTTGCGGCTCTTTGTTCTGCTAACAATGTGACTAATCTGACCGCAAACTTTATACAATTCATTTACCCTAGAAACATTAGGTTGGATTTGAACAAAAATTTAATTTTATGGAATATGAATGATAATAAAATGAAGAAGATTTAGACGAAACTAAAGTCTAATTCTAAGTCACTTTCATGTCCAATTTAATTAACACTTATTACATAGTTACTATCTTGGAATAGAATGAGAATAAAATTTTAATTTTGGGAAAAGTTGAATGGAGATATGGTAATTGTAAGTTTTTATGCTGCCCATAATGTGATAAAGGTTTAGAAGTTACAAGCCTAAAATTAGTGAAGGATAAAGGAATATTATTTCTTCTAGAAATGTCGTTCAGTAAGAGCTTAATCTTCGGGTTTGGGTGAGGATATTTCCCTGAAGCAGCAGTTTAGTTTACTGTTGAGGGCCTCTATTGGCATTTTGGCATGTCGCCAGACTGAGTCATAGCTTTGGGTGTCGGACATATCTACAGGTTTTCCTTTCCTGATGCATGAGGCGAACCCTTGACTTGAAAACTGTTTGAATGTGGGCCATTCTGCTTTCTCATCTCTCTCTTGACTTTTGTAAAAGGCCTCTACCGTTCTCCCTTATGAATGGGATGAAGGATAAGGTAGTAGGTTTGGTTTTACTTAATGTGTTTTTGCCAAGTTAAAGAAAAGAGCAAAAAATAAAGAACAGTCGTGAATCCTATTATTTGATACCCTGATCCTGTCCCTGAGAACAGAACTTTGGTAATCATGTTATTCTAATGGCTATACATGCACGTGAATTTGATATCTTTATCTTAGTCTATGGAATGTCAGTGGAGAGTATGGGAATAAGACACTGAGATCTGAACTGAATGATATGGTTATGTTTCAGGTCATGGCCATACCATCTGATTCCCTACGCTGCTTATTTGTTGAAGAATCACACCATTTTATGTTCTGGCTATACCTTTTCTATATGGTGTCTGGGATAACATATGGCCTGGGAAGTTGGACTAGATAGTCACATATTAGTTTCCTTGTAGAGTCCAAAGTTGGTAGCTTTGGTGTTTGGCTAGAAGGTGCTTAAATAATTGCTTAAGGAAATATATTTTAAGTTACCTAAAGCAATTAACTGCTTATTTATTAAAAAATGAGCAAAGATTTCTAAAAGGCCAACAAAGCAATTAGATAGAAAGAGTATAGTTACAGAATGTTTAGTCATAACTTATTTTTTTTTTCTTGTATAACTTGACTTTTAGAGTGTGTATGGGAGGCTAGGCTTTGAAAATTGATATGGTTTAATAATTTTCTCATCTGTTAGTTTTTGAAGAGAGTTAATAAGAAAAGGAGGTGTTTATTGAGCTCCTTCTCTATCCTCTCAACATCCAACTATCAAACTGAGGGCTGGGAGGGTTTCATAATCTGCTTAATATTATTCTTTCAAAAGAATAATTTTTTTTGAGAAGATAATCTGCTCAATATTATCATTTGGTAAAATTACTTAAGTATCCATTTTTCGATATTTAGAACATTTATATAGTTTTTTCAATATGAAATGATATTTTTGTTATATTTAGCCAACTCCTAGCCTCAGTCTTTGAAACTAAACAAGATAAGGTCAAAAACTCTCTGTACCTTCTTCCCTGTAATTATCTTGCAAACGAGGCTGTTGGAATCCTTAGTTCACTCTTCTCTACTTTCTTCTACTTTAAAAACCTGCTATGTTTTATGTAGCTCCCAAACAGTGTGAAGCACCCACAAGCATCATGCTTATTTAATTATCAAATGGGTAAATTGAAATTATAAGATTTGTTTACATTAAAGTGACTATATTTACTTTGATTCCTTTCTGTGTCAAAACCCAGTTGCTTACTTTTTGGATCAGAACAAACTGTGTCTTAAATAAATCATGTTCTTGAATGGTTTCTTGAAGGTTGAAACAACTATTATTGCAATGCACATTGCATTCGTAATGATTCTTCTTCCTAGGAGATGGCTTCTGCTTTTTTCTATCTGTCTGCCCCCTCCTCTCCCCCCTCTGACCCTCTAGATACGTGTGCGTGCGTGCGTGTATCTATCTTTATTTCTATTTCTATCAATCCCTTGGTAATACTTAAAGTTTGTGATTTCATAGATACCAAGTTTACTGATTTTATTTTTTTCTTGTTGTATGCAGGAGAGGGCAAAAGCAGGTTTTTCTGATGACGGATTTCCTGGGGTTCCAGTTTTTCAGGTTTCTTTTTAAGCATTGAGGAGTAGTTTCTTTTTCAAGTCATATTTGAGTGTATGTAGTATTACTAACATGAGTATAGCTGTCATTATCAGATAAGATAATGTTTTACAAAGTGGCTCTAAGTTTAGCCATGGGTGATTGATATATTAAACTGTGAAGGATATTTTCATAGTTCAACTATGTAAAACCTTTTTTCCCTTGTTTCACATCTATTAATTGGATCCAGTAGAACATGTATGGCACCAAATGATATGCTAACACAAAGTAGAAAAACCATCTTGAATTCCAATCTGACAAATCACCCGGTAAACATTTTAGGTTTTCTGAAGATGTTCAGTTGAAAGTAGGTAGTAAATATTCATTTGCCATGTCCTGGGAAAAAATGCTTCTCGGTATGCAAAAGTTAATGACATTTTCTGCCAGCCATATTTCTAGGATTCCTTCTTAGGAATGTCAGTTGCAAATTCCAATTGGTTGTGTCATTTGATATATGCACACGGGAGACATGCATAAACCAAGGAAGTTAATCTATAATCTTCTAGCTCTTGATAGAATTCTACATATATCGAAAACAGAGAATATCTTCTTGCCTAATAGCCTGAACTGTTTGCTTAATAGATTTGGGGGAGAAACACATTTAACCCCCTGAGGCCTTGTATTGTGACTCAGAACTTGAAGCTATCATGTAAAAAAATGTTTGTGGCCCCTGTATTGTGATGACATCTTCTTTTTGATATCTGGACATATAACTTCCTCTAAGACATCTGACCTTAAAATTTCCAGGCTAACATCTTACAGTGTTCGATCATTTTTTATTTCAGTCGAGGAGTTTGATACTAAGAAGCCAGAACAAGAGCTATCGTCCTGTTTTTTTTAGAAAGGTTAGTTGATGAGAGGTTTTTCATGTGTCCTGGTTGGCCATAGTTTTACTACTACTGCTCTTTTTACCTTTGAAATTTTGTAGGAGGATTTAGAGAAGTCATTAGCCAGAGCTTCCCGTCAGCAGAAGCAATTAAGTCCTGCCTTCAGACAGGGTGATATTCAAGTACTATTTGCTTTTCTAATCTCTTTTTGTTGGTTGAGTTTCGGTTTCCTTTCCACTTACGTGTTGTATATGTTTAGGTTGCTGTCTTTGAGGAAATAATTAAGGGGATGAAGGTTAGGAGCCTCTTTTATAGTTATTTTTCTTTTAATGTAACTCTTAGATAAAGAATAGAGATCTGGATTATTTCTTTGATATTTTGAAGTGATAATTTTTATTTTTTCTATCTAGATTTGGAGCTTCATCTTCAATTTTTTTTGGTTTACGAAACAGTCTTAAATTCTTAATTGGATATAACTATTAGTTGAAAATTTGCAGGAAACTTCTACTTCAAAGTGGGATGATGTCGTTTTCATTCCTCCCGGTTTCGACGTTTCAACTGATCCTTTGCAGCAATAATAAGCTGCAGATGTATATACAATGACTTCTCTGTTCAAAGGATCAAATTAGTATGTATCTACAGCATTCTTATGTAATTTATTGCCATTGGCTAATCTCACACGCATGAAAATTTTGCAAAAGATAGGATGAAGTTTTTGCTTGTAATTGATTTAGTATCAATATGCTTTCGACTTTCAATCTAGCAATGCTTGAAGCCTACAAAGTTTCCTCTCTATTCATTTCATAAGATATCTCATCTTTTGCTCCCAGAACTGGACTGTTCTCTTGGATTGAAGTCAATTTTTTTGTCATTTAATTTTTTTTTTTTTTTACTCTGGGAAAAAAAATGAATTGTCTTTAGAGTTGGAAGAGGAGCAAGGGGATTAGATAACTAATGCCTTGTCTGGCCGGTGGGTACATAAGAATGCTTGAGCAAGTTGATTCGATAACTGATGCCTTGGCTTAAGGAATTTTGCTTACGTTCAATGTTCAGAAGCTTACTCTCATGTTTATCCAGCATGTGCGCATTCCCTAATTTTTAGAACAGTTGTTATTTGCGCATAAAACAGGTGTTAATAGTTGCTGCAATTCATTGCAACTATTTTGGTTGTCTTCTGACCAGGTGAGAAGTGAGTGCTACTGTGATGCATGGAGGCATTATGGCTTATAGTGATTTTTTAACATCTCAAGGTAATTTAATAATTTTGTGTAGGTCACGACTATGGAGTGTAGATGATATCACAGAAGGACTGAATTACTATGAAATGGTAAGAAACTACCGGAGAAGGCATGGTGCTTTTGAGGCAACTCTGAATTTGCTGGAGGCATTAGTTTGCGATGCTCTTTACATGCAAGAACACTTGGAAGTTGGAACCTCGCACTGTTGCTGTAGATAAACTATGAAGAATTGGTAAATTTTAAATGAGCTAAGTTTAGGTCACTACCTAGGAAAGAACTATACATTTTCCTTGTAGTGTACCTGAAGAAATCACTTAGAGCTAGTGGAGTTTGGTTCTTGTCGGCACAATCATTTTTTTTTTCCTTCTACAAGATGTGAGGAAATTCATATATATTAGCATTGAATTTACTGACATGGGTGCATTGTCGTGTAAGATGCATGGAATTAGATCCGAAAACTTGTAACTTAGAAGTTTCCCATAAATTGGTTTAATTGTTTTTATTAAGGGAATGAATAGCCTGCATGGTGCAGTGATGTTTACATTATTACTTCTCTCAGCCAATATGCCCTACCAGGCTACCGGCTTTTTGGTGAGTTTAGTGGGGTAATCCTGTCCTTAGGTATGGGAGAACTAGTACTTTGGAACTGGACATGAATATACCCAGTTTAAATCCTAGATGTGTGGGGTCTGAAGAATCAAATATGGGTGAGCTTTATCTTTATTGTACAAGATCAGGACAAGCAAGTTATGGCGTACTAATATATATATATATTTTTTGTTTGTTTTGGTTAGGCTGAAAGTTATGGGGTAGTTTTGCCCAAGAACAATTGCATGCTCAGTTTGACATTTAAGGTCTTTAATTATTTAAGGTTCGGAGTTTATGGAGTTGTTATGGATTGATATGTATATATGGATTAGCATGCTTTCAGATTTTTGTACGATTCTCTGGTATGACCCTTTTGGATTTTTAATTGGAAGACAAAGGCAGTCATTGGTATGGGACTCTGGTGTCGAGGCCATGATTTTTTGGTTTGTACTGGACAAAGTTTTCTTTGAAAATTTTTAGGGTTATATTGGGAGTCGGAGCGCTTTTTATGATTATCTTTCTTGGGATAAATGAAAGGAGGATCAAAAGGTATTACTGTAGCTATTCTCTGTGAATGTTTATTTCGTGTGGTCGAAGGAAGATGATTTATGACATAAATATTGAAAATATTTTGTTGAAAAAGTAAAAGTAAATCAATTGCTGATGGGAAATATGCATGAAATTCATGTCAAAAAACGAGAAGAGACAGTGAAATTGTTCAAATTTGTCAATCATGCCCGTCTTGGCATCCAAGAAAACGTCAATATATACACATATATACAAGCACACACGCACACACACACCCATGTATATGTGTCTGAGAGAGAGAGAGAGAGAGAGAGAGAAGGTGGTGGGTGCTGCAATTTGCTGCCATTGTAATTAGCTTAGCTAGTTTCGCATACGCTGTACCACAGTTCCAGCCAGCCTGTTGACGTTGACTATTCACCATAACAATATTCTGGTGTCTTCCCAGATACATATATACATATATGTATGTATGTATGTATGTATGGAAGAGTGAAAAGTAAGTTGAATACTTTTGATTAAAAAAAATAAGATAGGCGTTGAAAATGAAAGAGAATAAAGAGTGGTGAAGAAGGCGGTGAATGATAGGTTTGAAATATTTTCAATGTGTAGTCCGCGGCTACATGAATAATTCCAAAACTCCACTCTGCAAATATCAATTGATATTTTCTCAATCAAATCTCATCTCCCCATTTCAAGAAAACTATGCATATGTGTGTATATATATATATATATATATATATATATATTTATACACACATACACGCAAATACGATATCTTTTTATGTACACACTGAAATCGAAAACCATTTTCAAGAAAACTAATAAATTAAAAATTATTGCATATATATATATATATGTATGTATAGTAATTGCAACTACACACACAAATATTAAGCAATTTTATAAAAGTCTTATTTGATATGACATTTCCGTGTTAAAATGGTTAAAAGACATGAATATTGCTGGGTAAGTTTGCTGTCACTTTTGGGACATGTTGATGTTAGTTCTTATTATATAGTTAAAAGCTATGTCACTTTTGTTTTTTACTTTACAAAACATACATACCTACATACATACATACATATAGTACAACAAATAGAAACGTGGGCCTCTTTTTTATTTTCATTTCCCATTTTTCTTTTTACAAATTATCTGCATTTTTTAACTTAACATAAAACATTAAATTATTATTTAATTTGATTTTTTTTTTGGGTAATATAATTAAATAATTAATAATCAAAACAAAACAATAATTGAGAAATTAATGAGGGTTGATGCTGATCTTTTTGTTTCCATGTAATTAATTCAATTATAAAAATAAATATGATGGATTGATTATGATTGTTTTAGACCCAATTGATAATTTGTTGTTGTACCAAATCTCTTGCCAAATTATTAGGGTTTTAATATTACTTTAATAAATAAAATAAAATAATGGCCAGAGTAAAATAAACTATTAATTTAACTATAATAAATATTAAATTGCATATCTTGATATCCTATTTTATTTTTTATAAGTATATAGTATGATAAAAATTTTAGGACTTTACAAATTTTTATTTTTTTTGTCTGGTTGACCCCAATTTTCATTTTCAAATTACATGATAAAAAATATATATATATCTTATATACTACCCACTTTATTTTTCTTAATGAATATATATATATATATTGGGTTAAATTTATTTTTACAAAAAAAAAAAGAGATAATTATGAGTAATTTTGGTTTTATATTTGAGGTTCAAAGTGATGATGGCATGGCATGGCAATCACGGGTCCGATCAGAGTGAGGGTGCATGGAGAATAATATGGCCGCCAACTACATTATAACATTACTCATTATGCACCGCCGCGCTTGCTTGCTAGTTGCTTCTTTCTTCTTGCAAGGGCAGAGTTGGTGAAATCAATTAATTTTTTTTATATTTATATAATATTATATGTAACACCCAAATTTATAATTAATTAATTAATTAATTAATTAATTAATCACATTGTCTTAGTTACTTCCCTCACCCACTAAACTTAATTAATTTATTGTACCCCGCGATCCCACTATACATTCATGCTCCCCCTATTACTTTTTTGTATTTATTGGATTATTTATTATCTTGTTACATATACAAAATGGTTATATCCAATTTTTTAACTTTAAATATAATAATTCTATTAACATATTAATTGAATTAAGTATTATAATATATTCATAAAGTGAGGGAATAAGTACGTATAGCTTTTCTAATGTTCTTAAGTATATTAATTAGAGAAGTAAGTTTAAACTAATTAATTATCGAGAACAATAATTAATGTAATTATGCAACATTGATTATGATGAGGGTTGAGTACAGCAATACCGCAAATAGATATATTCCCACTCATCGCTGCTTAACATATTTTTCTGCTTGCCTCGTAATCTCAATTAATATCCTACTTAAAAACTATATATTATAAATAATTATAGTAAGAAATTAATTTAGTAACTTGTTTAAGAAAACTTATATATATAATTAAATTTTTGTAGGGAGAGAGTCTGTGGTTTCACGCATGTTTGAAACTTACAAGTTACAAAAAGAAGAACAAACAATTGTTTAAAATTGAAATTGTACAACGGTCAAAAAAACAAATGGGGTATTAATTAGCTACAGAGACCAGCTGGTCTCTCTCTCTCGTGACCCCCCTTGTCACACACTCCCACCCCAAAAAGAAGGGCAATTGCCATTTCAAATAAGGCATACACAGAATCATTCTTCAAAATCAATATACTAATATATATATATATATATATATATATAAGAATGCTCTACCACGTGTCAAACATCGAATGGTTAAAACCCATACATCATTTTGTTTAAGTGGTCCCAAAGAAAACCCTAAATTGGAAAAACCCTTGAACCCTTTATTCCCCATAATAATATTGTAGTATACCATACTGTTACTGTACACCAAGTTGTCATCCACCACCTTCTTCTGCAATCATAGCCAAGGGACCTTCTCTCCTTTTTTTTTTGGGGTATGAATTCATGGCCGAAAGGACCCTACTCTATTACACTTGGACCATATATACATATTTATTTATAATATGATTAGGAGAATTAATTTCTAAGTTATGTTTGATGTAATTTTTCTTCTTACCCATTATAGATTTTTTGGATTTGGTTTTTATATTATTAAAGATTTAAGTTTTTCTTGAAATGATTTCTACCCGTTACAAATCTAAATTTTTTTTTAAAAAAATGGATTAGAAATAAGAGTATAATCTTACTATACATTCAAAATTCCATACTCAAAGCTACCAATTAAATTAACCCTTATAAGATAATATGTAGATATACACATGTATATAGTTCCTCTAGCAAAAAGCCAAAAAACAATATTACAAATTGTAATATATATATATATATATATCCCGAAGAAACTGAACTAACCCGAGAAAAGTAAAGAAAGGGGGAGAAAAGAAAAGCTCCAAAGCAAAATTAAGAAACCCAATACAAAATGCCTGCCCAAACAAAAACAAATGCTTCCAGCTTTCATGGTGTTGCTAAGCTGGCACCAGCTTTCATCTAGCTCTTCTAGTTATTGCTCACGCGTACCCCACCTCCATCTCTCTCTCTCTCTCTCTCTAAACTTAAATCCATATTATAAATACCTTCTCCAAACAAGCCTCAGACCCATCAACTCCACCCCAACAAATTCCAAAACCCAAACTTTCTTCTCTCTTCTATCTCTTTCTTTCTCTCTGTGTACAAAAATCAAGAAATGGGTCATCATAGTTATTGTAATCTGAACTGCATGGCAGTGTTAATGGTGGGTCTGGTCCTGGTCGGCGGTGTGGCCGGCGCCGGAGACTTCCGCCAGAACTTTGACATGACATGGGGTGGGCAGCGAGCAAAGATTTTCAATGGAGGAAAGCTTCTATCTTTGTCCCTTGATAAGGTTTCTGGGTCTGGGTTTCAGTCCAAGAGTGAGTATCTGTTTGGCAGAATCGATATGCAGCTGAAGCTGGTTGCTGGAGACTCTGCTGGCACTGTTACTGCCTACTATGTATGTTCCAAACAATGCCTTATTATTATTGATTCTCTATATATTCTTCAAAATCTTTTTTCACATTTTATGAAAACTACCTCACAGGATATATATGAAAGACTTTTAACATATATTAGACCAGCAGAATATCTTTTGCAGCATCTTTATCGTGAAAGGGATGGCATAAATACCTTTTTCAAAAGTATATGTCTACTTATATATATAATGTATTTATTCTTTTCATGTGAATATAAGCAAGAAACTGTACATTCACAAGAAGCAACATATAGGGTAGTCTAGCTATATTGCTTCTAGAAATTGAAAAGGTGACAATTTGTATAGTATATTATACAGCATTAAACCACATGAATATATATATACTATCTATATATATAAATGCTTATAAATATGTTCTGTTTTGTTTGCAGTTGTCTTCTCAAGGACCAAACCATGATGAAATTGACTTCGAGTTCCTGGGAAACCTTACCGGTCAGCCTTATATTCTCCACACTAACGTCTTCACTCAGGGAAAAGGAAACAGAGAACAGCAATTCTATCTCTGGTTTGACCCTACAAAAAATTTCCACACTTACTCTGTCATCTGGAATCCCCAGCACATCATGTAAGATATATAACGTACATATGTAAATCCCATATATATAATGACAACCCAAAATCTGATAATAAGATTAACCAACTGGGTCGCCATCTTAATCTTTTTGCATGCAGTTTCTTAGTCGACAATGTGCCGATACGAGTATTCAAAAACGCAGAGTCAATGGGCGTGCCCTTCCCCAAAAACCAGCCGATGAGGATTTACTCGAGTCTCTGGAACGCCGATGACTGGGCGACGAGAGGAGGATTGGTAAAGACCGACTGGACAAAGGCACCATTTACAGCTTATTACAGGAACTTCAATGCCGACGCATGCGTCTGGTCGGCCGGGACATCATCGTGCGCTTCGAGATCTCCGAGCTCCGTATCGAACAGTGCGTGGCAGATCAACGGGCTGGATGCGCCGAGCAGGAGACGATTGAGATGGGTTCAGAAATACTTCATGATCTACAATTACTGCACTGATTTGAAACGATTCCCTGAGGGTGTTCCGGCCGAGTGTAAAGGTCCAAGATTCTGAGACATGGGTGTATGAAGATGAAGGTTTTGTAATATGAAGTGTTGGGTGGTTGATCAGTGGAGACATTCTTTTACAGCTTTTGTTTTGTATTTTTGAAGTTGGTATTTTGGCGGTTAAAATAAACGTTTATTCTTTTGTTACTTTTTGTTGTTGTTATTACTTAGTGGGTAAATCTCTTGTTTGTCTGTAAATATTTCTGTAGAAAATAAATAAAATTTCCCATTTGTGCACTGAAACAGGACTTAAATTCTTAAAAAATGGAATAATATTTGACCAATGTAAAATGGAGTCTATTTTTCTTGGGTATCAGCCGAATCAGTCACGACTTTGTCAATTTTGGGCTATCCCACTAAATTTTGAAGGCCCAGTCCTCTCTTCTGTTCAAAATTTCCAACTTCAATATGTTAACCTCTTCGTCCAAGCAAAAAATACGGACTCATAAAAATATTATCATTTAATTAGAAATTAGATTTAATTGTACAAGGAAAAAAATTAGAAGATTGTTCAGGTTAAAAGTTGAGATCTGAACACTAATTAACATGTCAAATTCACTAAATTAAGTTAAATTAACCAAACCATTTAGTTGGGGAACATATATATATATATATATATATATTATACAGGCATATACATGTGTTTTTATGCGTGGAAAAAACCATCATCAATCGAACTGCGAATTCTTGCTACTATTTCCTATTGAAGTGCTGGGAAACTATTTTAAATAATGCATTTTATTCACATAACATAACTACAAAACATGCCGATTGTCTGGTTATTTTCTTTTCCTCCTCTTTCCTTCGTCTAATGATTCAAGATCATTCACTCGGCAAATCTACTCTTGGAATGATTTTTTCTTCAACATAACTTGAAAATCTCACCTTTGGTCTCTGTTCGCACTGTTATAAAAAAAAAAAGATGATAAATCAAGTTCATTGGATCCTCAAGGATTTAAAACTTGTGCTCTAAAGATTAAAAAAAAACAAAAGAATCTCTGCAGCACTGTGGATATTACATTTACTTACTGGGATTCTACATGGGACATATAGATTATCCTTCACTTGTCTAAGGCGGTCTTTTGCAAGCTCCTCAGCTTCACTAGCTTTCCTGCAAGCTTCTTTCACCTGAATTATGTTTTGATAAAATGAATTTAGAATTGCATTGCCACCTTCAAATTGAATAACATGAAGAATAGATAGAATGATCATGTTCACCTTATTGACGCAGAGATGATCATGGTCATCTGCCGATTTCTCCAGCATATCTCTCAGACATGATAGTTCTTTAGCCAAATACAAGACTACTTCTTCAGCATCTCGCATCTGATTCCTCGAGAACTCAAATGCTTTCTCTGCATCTTCGCGGTAAGAAGAGCAATTCAAACAAGTAGAGAGCTCTCTGTCCCCATGTGGAGTCCTTTTAAGAATTCCTTTCTGGTAACCAACTGCAATGATTCTCGGAGGTGGAGAAACTTCAAGCTGGGATGTGCTTTGATGCAAGCTATTTTTTTCAGGTAGTTTAGCATCATTTGCAAATCTAACTATAGAGCAGTTTCCATCACCACTAACTGGTACCTGGTTTGAAATGGACAAAGCACCTTCTCTCAAGACCGATAAAGAACCAACACAAGACTGAGATGACATGGTTGGTGGCTCATTTTCAAAACCACGAGCAGCCTCTGACCTCTTTGTCAATTCAGCATCTTCAACTTGAGTGCCTTTTTCCTTGTGGCAATGAACTGGGTGTGATGGTTGAGAGCCATGTTCAAGAGACGCCAGCTCTATAGTATCAGTCTCAGATGGAATTCCACCAGCATTAGGTGGAGCTAAAGGGAGAGCACTGCGATCACTATTAGAACACTCCACCTCACTTTCACTGCTAGAATTTCCTCTGGGTGTCCCTTGACAATCAGAAACTAATGATGGTGAAGTAACCTTTTCTTCCAATCTCTTCTCATTTTGCATAATACCACAATTTCCAGATGAACCTATAAGCACATTTGAGAAAAGAAAAGAAGGTTATTAGTAGCCAGACATGCAGTTAACCAACATGGTGCATGACAACCTTGTTACTTGCTTAGCCAATCAAGGCGTAGCAGTAATAGGTTGACAACCAGCACAAAGTTATAAGTCGATATTATAGGAACATGGAATACTAAAATAGCAAAATAGGCATGAAACCCAAGATAACTCAGCATTAAAGATTTTTTGAATTTTTCTTTTGCTTTTTGGAGAAATATATCCTTGGAATTAAGGATGCCTGCAAAAACTATTTCAGTTCCATGCGAATGGACAAGTATGGAAAGAAACAGTGCTTACAAGAATTATCTTTGGTGATGCCCATAAAAAAAGGAAGCAATCTTCTGTAACCCAGTGAGCCTGGAGTTTTAAACAACATTCGCTGTGAGCACCGATTTAGAACCTATTCAATATCCAAGCCCTTAATCATTAGTACAGATCATGAAAAGAAAGAAACAGTCGGATTACTAAAATAACAAAGATAGTAACGCTTAGCACCTTTATTTTTAGCCAATTTTCATGATTCATACATTATATTTTCCTGCAGATAATAATCGAAGGAAACTATTTTCAAGTGAGCTTCAAGAGGATAAGATCATACCGACTTGCCCTTTGAATTTGATACACTTCTCTCCTCTCCACTGTTATTTTTCTGAAAATCTCCATTTGATGGTTTCTTCAAAGCACAACCTACACTCTGCAAAATGTCCTTCGTTCTGTCATCTTGATCTTTACGTAATTCACTCAAATGACCAATATCTGGGGGTGTTGTCTGGCCACATTCTTCATGTGAGCCCTTGATATGATCTGGAACACCATCACTCTTCTGTGCATTACATATTTCCCTACTCCCTTCTTTACCACGCAAATTGGGAAGACAATCAGAGGATGTTGAATTGAACCTATTACCAGAATCACTGTTATGATGCCCCGTCTGAAATCTGTCATCAGGGATCCCTGCAAAACAATTTTCTTTCTTAGGTTAATAGCTAAAGGAATCTATTACCAGAAAGTATTAGCTTAATGGATCAACAAAAACCATGCGGAATCATGACTTTACTAGTATCAGAATTAAAAGAGTAAGAGATCCAGAGTAGAAACGAGCAAATTACATTTACATGGACTATCTTTTGCAATATCCATCAAATATGGAAGCAGTCTCCCATAGCTGAAGGACCCTGGAGCCTTGAAAAGCTTCCCTCGATAACCTGGATTCAGAACCTACTCAAAAATCCATATGCAACTAACATTAGAAACTATAGATAAAAATCTAGATATCAGAAAACCATGTTCAGCTTCTAATTGTGAATCGCTGTAATGTGACAATAGTAGACTGTAATTTGAATTCAATGCACCAAAGGGAAATTTTAAACGTGTCTTACTGATTTAGCGTTCTGCTGGCTGGCATTTATCTCTTTGATAATTCCTTTCTGGGCTATCTCCTGATTGGGCCTATCAATCTTAACATGTCGATTTCTTGTCCGCATATTTTGTTCCTCCAAATCATCAGCAACTCCATTTGAGATCCCACTGTCTTCACCTCTTCCCAACTCATCCACACTACATCTTCCATAACTGAGCTTGAGATTTACAGGCTCTAGCTCCACGCTATCTCCACCTTTACGCACTTCTATACCATCACAAGCCATATCATCTCTGCCAATACAGGAATCGTGACCTTTATCTTCCAGATCCTCGTCTTTGCAAGAAATTTCCGCATACAATTTCTCAGTCTTTTCGTCTTCATGAACATCTGCAACTCCCAATAGACCACCTCGATCAGAATCTGAAACTTCCTCGCAAGAAAACTCAATCTCCAACTTTCTAGCAACTTCATTTCCTTCACAGACCTTGACGATATCATCCAAACGATTACAGAATATGCCATCAACGTCGAGACGAGAACGAGGACTTTTACCATACAAGTTCTGGGCATCGCATAGGGACACATCTTCGAGTCCTTCACCTTCCTTCTCAAATCCATTTTTCTCCAGGCTTTCTTTTCTCAGCTCACACTCATTTTGAATAGACGAAACTGGAGAAAAAACCCGCCTCGAGCGTAAATCAATAACGGAAACGCTAGAAGACAAATCTTGCTCACCATCAGCAGCATGCGACTCTTGAGGCAATTTTCTTCTAGATTTCTTATTAGTGGGTGAGCATGAGTAAATATCTACGTTGTGGTGGCTTCTCAGGCGAACAGAGTCGCGTCGGGACCGCCCTGAGCGGTTCCTGTGGATGTATATCTGAGATTTGCTGCGAGTGAAGGTCCCGGTGAGAGGATTGGTTGTGACTGGTGAAAATCGCTTTCGTTTGTTGAAACTTTGGATTGAATATGACATAGTTACGCAGACAGATGGCGAGGGAGAAACGACGAAGAGAGATGGAGATGATGGAGGAAAGAGTTTTGGCGGTAAAAATGGGGTAAGATATATCTTTTTGCCGGGAAATCGCGGGAGAATATTGAAATTGGCGGGAAAATTATGTCGGGTCGGGTTGAATCCGTCCGATTCCGGATTTAGTCAGCCCCATCCACATATTTAAAAAAATAATAAAAAATTAGTTTATTTTCATGTCTGTTTATATAGATACGCATACGACTAACATCTGGTTTAAGGTTATATTTGGAATAAAATTGGCAACGTAATGAATTTTATTTACAAAATTATATTTAATTTAAATAAAGATGATGAAAAATAAATAAATAAATAAATTTTTATTTTATAAATAATTTAACTAACTTTAAGAATTTTTTAAATATTTTATTTTATCATGATGAGAAAATTTATCAAATAACTTAATTAAACTCAATAATTAACAAATAAAGTTTATAATATTTTAAAACTTTATACCAAACTAAAATAAATGCCACTACTAACTTATATTAATGTATTAATTACTTTGATAAAAATAACTTTAAAAATGAATCATATAAGTGAATGATATAATATTTTCAGCTCATGAATTATCAATAATTGTCTATGTCAAATTATTTTATAACTTATATTAGATATAACAAATAATTATGATTATAACACAAATAAAAAGTCACCATATAAAATTACTTTGTTATTTTAAACTCATATATACAAAAATTTATCAGTATATCAAAAACTGTTAGTCATGTATTAACTGTAATTCTTACAAAAGTTATTATATTGTAGTTATGATAAATAAAATATTACTATAAAAACATATGAAATCGAATGAAAATAAATAATTTCTTTTTAATCGTTGGTGATAAATCGGTTGGCTCTAATAAACCATACTCGTACATTTTGCTTATAAATATATTACATCTTTATATAATTTATTTAATTCATTGTAAAATTTAATGAAAAATTAATAACATCATATAGTTATTACAATTGACAACATAATTTATAAAGTATTAAATTAGATATCTAATTCATATACAAAAATTATCAAAAGTTAATTTTTTAATAAATACGTGGAACTTCATTATCGAACCCGAACTAAGCATATCGATCTAAACTATCTCCATCTACCAATGTCAAATTAATATTTTGATATCTCCCTTTTTTTAAAGTATTTTTAGACTAATTATTTAAACATTTACCTTAGTTTTAAAATTAACTTGGGAATTATTTATTCCCCAAACTACTAATTAAATTGTGCAAATAGAATTTATTTTTTGTTCAGAAAATAAGTGAAACTTCTTTCTCGAAATATTTTTAAATTTAAAACAAGGCCGGAGTTGAGAACCGGTTCTTCAAAATTTCCACAGAGCAAAAAAAAAAAAAAAAAAACCGGCAGAGGAACAAATTGTGCACCTACTGCAAACATTGCAAAGTGAACAGCAGGAGGGAAGCAGCCATGGATTTCTCTCTCCTCAGTGAAGCTCTGGCTTCTAAATCGTACGAGAAGATCGCTGACATCTGTGACAACTTGATGCTTCAAGTGAAATCTATCTCTCTTTCACTCTTTCAATTCTAGGGTTTTAGTTTATGGTTTTCTCCTTGAAAAAAATTTCAGTCTCACTTGATTGAGCCCTAATTTGTATGAACAGGTTGCAGCAGAAGGCGTTTCTTTTCAAGACGAGTGGCCGTACGTCATTCATCTTCTGGGTCACCTTTACGCCGATGATGTGTAAGCTTTGTTGTTATTATTTTTGAAAATCCATTTCGCGGCGGTACCTGCTCTATGTCCGGAATGAGAAAGGGAGTAGATTAAAGTAGAATTTGGAACCGGTTGCTCTTTGTGTTATTCTGCAATTTAAGATGGCGGAAAATGGATATGAATTTGAATTGTGCCCCCCCACCTCCTCAACCCTCGAGTTTGATCGTTTTGAAATTCAGAATTCTTAGTGTGTTCGATTGTAATTTAGATTATGGGAATAAATGTCCTTTTTAAAAAAAAAAAAAAAAAAGAAAGTTCGGTGATCATCTTTTGCTCTGAGATTCAGATACGTGGGAATCAATTGATTCAATTTTGTTTGTTGATTTGGATATCAAAGCTTATGCTGTTATATATCTAACGTGATAGGAACTGTTAGGCTAGGGATATTTCTAAGAGTTTTAAGGCTTTGATACATAAAATTCAATGCAATTGAATTTCTGGGTGTAAATGGTTTTTATCAATTAAAGCTCTTTGTGGTAGTATCTTTGAGTTTATCTTTGTTTTTGAATTGCGGAATGTAGTTTGCTGGAACTTTGGGTTCAAATGTTAATTCTGGATGTTAGCAAGACTTTGAAGGGCTCTTATGGGAGGCAGTTGGTGAATTTAATGTTT